ACAGCAAATATATTCAGTGGGCACCCCCCCATATGCTCTCTTCACCATACCTCATTCTAGGTGCAAGGCAAAGAAAACTGACTATTGGCAGAAGAGGTCCTCCTGTGCTTTTAAGCTGAAAGGCTTGGCAGTTGTGACATCAAGCAGGTAATACTGCTTCTACCTTAGAACATCCGAAGGAAAAGATAACTCAAAGAAGAAAGGAAGGCCCCACCTCAGGACTCAAGTTAGAAATGAGCAGGAGCAAATGTTCTGTGAATTACAACTGTTCCCACCTAAAAGTGTTCCAGTTAGAAGAATAACTTGTTCCACATTACTCTAATGTTGCTCTTGCAAATAATTATTCTCTGCACTTCAGAGAAGGGTTAATAGCCCCTTTCAAGACATGCTGGAAATAACAATAATAATGATGGTAGTGATGACAAACTAGGGCACAGTACTTCACACACTCTAATTGCTTCTGATCTTGAGAAGAACTCTGGAAGGTAGGTGGTAATTCCATTTTATATGAACCGAGACTCAGAGATGATAAGATTTGCTCCAGTAGAGACATCTTCTAAACCCAGATCTTCTGACTCTGTGCCCCATAATTCAACTCCTGGGCTGATATATGCCATGTCACAAGCACAAGTTAACTTGTGAAATACCAAAGTCATAACTCATATCTCTAACAGCAAGACTATGTATGAGGTGAAAGCATCCAAGGTAAGGGGCAAAGTCAACTGATCAATACAAAATAGATAGGTCATACACCGTGTGTCCCAGAACAAAGTGTCAAAGTACACAGTCAGCAACTCCAGTTCTCGAACATAGGCATCAAGTGTCTGTCAATTAAAAGCATATCCCAAACCTGGCCATCAATTAAAATCACATGAGGAGCATTAGAAGAATTAACTGGCCTTCAGGGCTGATGGTGGGGAACCCGTACCTTGTCCTATGTTAAAAATGGTCAAATATTTGAATATTCCTGAATGCAGGACTTTCCTCACATAGTCCTGGGCTGAGCTCCTGAGTAGAGATGTTTTAGTCTATTTTCCATTGTTAACAGAATATCTGAGTCTGGGTACTTTATAAAGGGAAGAAGTTTACTCTGGATCCCAATTCTATAGGCTAGAAAGACAATAGTATGGCACCACCGAAGTCCTTGAACTGCTTCAACTAATGGTGGAAAGCAGAAGAGCAAGCAAGGAATGCCCTTGTTTTACCACAACCCACTCTGAAGGTACCTAATCCAGTCCCATTAGAGCAACAGTTTACATGAGAAAGGCATTAATCCCTCTTACTAACCATAATCACCTCAGTGGTAGAGCACTCACCTGGCACATGAGAGGCACTGGGTTTGATCCTCATCACCACATAAAAATAAATAAAAATAAAGGTATGGAGGGGGGCTGGGATTGTAGCTCAGTGGTAGAGCACTTGCCTAAAACACGTGTGAGGCACTGGGTTCGATCCTCAGCACTACATAAAAAATAAACAAAAAATAAAGGTATTGTGTCCATTTACAACTAAAAAAATAAAAAATAAAATAAAAATAAAGGTATGTGTCCATCTACAACTAAAAAAATTAAAAAATTTTTAAAAAATTAAAAGGTCCCAATACTGTTGAACTACAAACTGAGGCTGGAGATATAGCTCAGTTTGTAGATTGCTTGCCTCCCATGCTCAAGGCCCAGAATTCAATCCCCAGCACCACAAAAACAAACAATAACAACAACAAAAACCACTAGAAACTGAATTTTAGCATAAGTTTTGCTGGGGACAAACCACATCCACACTTTAGCAAGAACACTTGTCTAGCCAGTCAAGTTCAGCAATACTAGAGCACAGACTCCTTTCCCCAGGGATGAATGTTAAAGACTTTTTCAGAGCTTTGCATGAAAAAAAAAAAAAAAAAAACACTAAAAAACATGAATAAATAAACAAAACAGGAATAGGAAAAAATCCAAATGCCGAGACATTTCTTCCGAGTTGGTGAACATTCTGAGCCCCTTTATTGGCCCATGGCTAAATCCGCAGCAGAACATAAATTCCAGAAACAACAAATACTGCTCTGGGGATAAAGTAAAATATTAAGTCTGCAGTTCTATACTTGGCAATCACATTTCAGAATTCAGAATTCAAAATTCAGCCATTTAAAATTTAGAATACGCCATTCTAAAACCCAGCAACAGCACAATTTCCAGAATGGCCTTGGGAAGCCTGTTTAGCCCATTATGTAAAAAAAACATAGTAGTATTCCAACTATCCTAATCAGCATTTCAATTTTGAAAGTCAAATCAAAATTCCAAACTACAACAATAAGAAGTTTATCCCCTTCTCAGCTCAAGTGATCTCTGCTGGTCATAGGAAAGGAGAATAAGTAAGTACAGCCATGCGTCAATGGCTTATTAAGTCCCTATGCCTCATGATTGGTTCATTTTCTGGAACTGAAAATTAGAGCACTTACTATCCAGGGTTGGAAAGTAAACAGTCATGCAGGTCTAGGTCTGTCTCCTCTGAGATCTGGAAGAAGAGCTCAATGATGTTTCAGGTAAAATAAGGGCTTTTGACTTTATTTTTCAAACTACTCTTGCCTGGAATCCTAAATAAAGCCAAGACTGCAGTCATAGGATGACAGCTGTGAATACAATAAGTCTAATACTGTTCAACCTTTCCAGGAAAGGGCAAAGTTTTTCCTAATGCTCTCTTACTGTATCTTTGTCAAGAAGTGACTAGGTGGGCTGGGTTGTGGCTCAGCGGTAGAGCACTCACCTAGCACATGTGAGGCCCTGAGTTCACTCCTCAGAACCACTTAAAAATAAACAAATAAAATAAATGTAAAAAAAAAAAAAAATAGAAGTGAGCAGGTATGCTGGTAGCCGAACAACATAGTTCTTTACATAAAACAAATAAAAATGTCAAAGTTGTGTATTTGTGGTTATTATACATGTATTCCAACAGGTAAGTAAAATATAGCCCATGGGCCAAATCCAGTCCATTAAAAAGGCATATCCATCATTTTCACATTTTAAAGACACAGAAAAAACCGGAATGTCAGAAGCAACAAATGGCCTCAGAAACCTGAAACATTCTTTCTGAACATGCAGAAAATGTGTGATGGTCCCTGATTTACATAAATTATGTTGTACCTCTTAAAAAACAATTCTAAATTTCTCATGTAATTAATTAAATTAATGTGGAACAGCACACACCAATCAGGTAACAATGGTCACTTCAGGGGAAAGAATAAGATATTTGGGAGAGGAAAATGAAAGTTTTAATTTCATTGTTTGAATTTCTTGAAAATTATAGGCATACTTTTTACATGTCTAATTTTTAAAATACTTTTAAGTTGTAATAAACTACTCTATAAATACTTTAAAATGATAATTTCCCTGAATACAGACTGGGATCATAGAATTAATCAGAAATTGGGCTGGGATGTAGCTCAGTGGTAGAGCGCTTGCCTAGCATGTGTGAGGCACTGGATTCAATCCTCAGCACCATATATAAACAAATAAATAAAGGTCCATCAATAACTAATAAAAATTTAAAAGAAAGAAAGAAAAAATTAATTAAATTAGTACACCCAAATAGATTCAAAGCAGAATGATCCAAGGAGGTTCTTATACATTTATACCAACAGATATGCATTTGTGCATATACAGAAATTAATTACAGTTTTAGGGGGACACAATATCTTTATTTTTATGTGGTGCTAAGGAGTGAACCCAGTGCTTCATGCATGCTAGGCGAGCGCTCTACCACTGAGCCACAACCCCAGCCCAAATCTTTTCTTTTGGAATGGCTGAACTGAGTTGACTAATTTCTTTTTGATTTTATCTACCTGAGTTTTGAATCATTTGCAGTTTCGAACATGTAATTCACATTAAAGAAATATAGACAACCCAAAGGCCAAATCAAATCCATGAAATAGGCAGGATTGAAAGGTAAAACTGGGGGCTGGGGATGTGGCTCAAGTGGTAGCGCGCTCTCCTGGCATGCGTGCGGCCCGGGTTTGAGCCTAAGCACCACATACAAACAAAGATGTTGTGTCCGCCGAAAACTAAAAAATAAATATTAAAAAATTCTCTCTCTCTCTCTCTCTCACTCTTTAAAAAAAAAAAAAAAAAAAAAAAAAAGAAAGGTAAAACTGGTTTTAACATTTTTAAAGAGTTGGAAAAATGTATGTGAGAGACCACATATGAAGACCCCTGAAGCCTAAAATTCCCTATCTGACCTTTACAGAAAAAGTGTGATGATTCCTGATTTACATTAACAATGTTGCATCTCAAAAATAATTCAAAAGTCCTCTTGCAAATGCCTTCAAAGTCATTTGTAAACACAATAACAACAATTTAGCTGTTTTTTCCTTTTAAACTCAAAGCAGTATTAGCTATTCAGCTACCTCAGTTATCAGATTTGGCTCAAAAAACTGGTGACTTCAGCCTCAGGAGAAAGAGACATTTTCCCAATTACAATCTTATATCCAGGAGCCTAACCAGAATATATAAGGGCACAAGGAGAAAACAATCTCAGATTAACACTCTGAACAATCAAAACTAATTTTTTAAATTATTTTTTTAGTTGTAGATGAATATAATACCTTTACTTTATTTGTTTATTTTTATGTAGTGCCAGGGATCAAACCCAGTGTCTCACGCATGCTAGGCAAGTGCTCTACCACTGAGCCACAACCCCGGGCCCCAAAAATAATTTTTAAAATATATCAATTAAAGGGTTAGGGTTGTAGCTCAGTGCAGAGCACATGCCTAACATGTGTGAGGCACTGGGTTCGATTCTCAGCACCACATATAAATAAATAACCTTTTAACCTACTTAATTTGATATAAAAGCAGTTTAGAACTTGGAAAGCACAAACATTTCACAAAGAGACAGTATCAACAGAAAGAGAACAAAGGCTATCACTACAGTAAACTAAGAAAAATTAAGACAATATCCTCACTCACCTCTGGAACACATTTTCCTACCTAAGTATGACACAGAAGGTACTCTACCTCAACGTCCTGGAGACTGAATTCTTTCTGATCTGTAAAGTTTGCAGCCCCAGCACTAAGTTCCATCAGCATCTTGGCAATCTCAGGCTTTATGGCTGAGGTCAGCCGACTGGCTGCTTCCATGACATGCTCCTGCACATCTTTGAGCTGCATGGCCGCCTTTGAGTAATGCGAGTTTCGGAACACAGTGCTGAAGAGATCTGTGAGGAAAGTACTGGCACGGCAGAAGACATTGAGGGCATCCAGGTATTTGGAGATACCCTGCTGGATGTCAGCGATGGGAGTGGAGTGTGGCATGGTATGGTGGCAGGTGCCTGCAGCAGTCAGACTGCCCAGGGGCGCAGAGGTGGCTGTGGATGCCAGGGGAGCGCTCAGTGCTCGGCCCAGCTCAGGCATCGGGTACTGCTGGTGCTGCTGTACCTTCTGCTTGGACCCGCCAAGCAGGAAGCGCCGCTTGTAGTCCATTTTACTGTCCTGGGCACTGCAGCAATACATGCGGGTTGGGGAACTGTCCCAAGGACTGAGAGCAGATCAGGGTTCTGATTCTTTTTTTTTTTTTCCAAAATTGCAGCTAGGTATAAAAATAGTGGAGTTCTGCAAATCTAAGTTTTAAAAAAGGCATTTCCATGAGGCAGATGATCATGTGATCCAACATAGAGGTGAGGACAACTGGTTTATATAATTAATATTTTCAGTGTAGACAGGATCACTGACAAAAAAATAAAAGTGTGTTCAAAATGCTGTATAAGAACTGTTTTGCATTCCACTCTCTTAATAAAAAGGTATGCTTGCTGAGGAAAATGTTTACTTATAATTGCTTTGGAAGAATATTTTGATACTTATATTTACAATGGCAAAAAAATAACTTAACTTTTTAAAAATGTAATATAATGTATCTTCAGTATACCAAAAAGTTAGAACCCAAAAACCCACAAGCTGATCAACAGCAATTTAAAAAGCAATACATGGTTACTACACACAAAGTCCTTAAGAAGGAAGATCAAACTTCTGCAGAATTTTGACAGAGCCTGCCTGTCAAATCCATTTACCTGTAAAGCTTCTCCTCAAAACTAAAAATTTCCAAATTTCCTGCAATGTTTTCTGAAAACAAGTTTTCTTTAAAAATGGCATTTGTTATTATAAGTGTTCTCCTCCTTTCCTTTTGTTTGCTGAGGTAGTGATTTCCTTACAACATCAATAAAAGGTGCTTGCAGACTGGGTTGGCCCTCATTTACAAAGTCTGAAGCAAGAATGCACAGATGTATTCATAAGGCCTCTAAGTCATTTCCTGTAAAGGGGAAAAAAAGAAGATAAAGTCAGGAAGGCCATAAGACAATGAGCAATTCTGAAACATTAATTTATGGAATGTTATCATCTACACAGGCAGGCTACAAATGAATGAAATAAAATATCATATTATAAACTTAAAGAAGCAGGACAACAGTAAAAGTTGAACTGTGAAATGATTACTGTTAGAAAATTCCTCAAGGGCTGGTGATGTAGCTTAGTGGCAGGGCATTTGTCTAGTATGTGCAGGACCCTGCCTTCACTAAAAGGGAAAAAAAAAGAAAAAGAAAATTCCTCAAGTTGTAGTAGAAAAATAATGCAACAAGGTAAATCTGATTCCACACCAACCACTCCAAAACTGAGGCTAACCGGTGACACCTTGAACAAGGCCTGGCTTGTTTTCCCCCTTAGCGAGTTCACTAATCGGCAAGAAGATCGGATGAATTCACTTGTCCCTTGGTATCCATGGAGGACTGATTCCAGGACTCCCTGAAGGTCTCCAAAATCCAAGAATGCTCAAGTTCCTTAAATAAAATGGCACTGTATTTGCATATAACATATATACCATCCTTCCCTACACTTTAAATCACCTCTAGATTACTTATAGTACCTAATACAATGTAAATGCTATGTAAAAAACTGTATTGTTTAAGGAATAAAAAATCTGAACACATTTAGCACAGGTACAATTTGTTAAAAAATATTTCCTATTTAGAATTAAACCTGGAAATGTGGAACCTAGAGATATAACGTCTGACTAAGCTTTTGGTGAAAGATATTAATCTCCTCACAAAACTTTGAAGAGATCAGATAAAGGAAAGATGAGCACAAAGATGAGAGAAATCAGGAAGGCTGTTATGAAAAAAAAAAAAATTATTCTGAGGTAGGCCTTGATTGTAGGATAGATTTTGAGTAGTACAAAAGGGACACATAGGCGCTCACCAAGTGAAGAATCATCTCAGCAAAGGCCCTGAAGCAGGAGAGCACCAGGTCTGTTCAGGATATACCCAGGTGGGCTAAAGTACAGGGTGCAGAAAGACAAAATCTTGAGAGAAAAGTGGCTGGCAGATGGTTTTTAAACAGGATTCTTCTAATCACAAGCCAAATACCAATTTCTCCCTGGGTATTCAGAGAGGAAGCTTGGAAAAATATGCTGTTTTTCACTTCCTGGGGTAATTTCTACAGAATCTCTGGCTCTGGTTAGCAAATCTGGACATCACTGGTTATAGTTTCTGATACCTACAACAGAAAAATAGCCTATTCTCACTTAGCTAACTTCAGGGGTAACATTTGCTTGAACTACCTGTTCTGTCAAACACAGCAATAGTTCAAATATATTTTATTAAAAGTTATATTTAGTATATACTAAACTTCAGCATATATAATATCAATGTATAGTTTGATATACTTTTTTATTTTCAATGTTGAGGACTGAACACAGGATCACCTTGTATGTGCTAAGCAAGTGCTGTACCACTAAGCTACACATCCAACTCTGGTCTACTTACTAATGACCAGTTTCTTTCTTTCCATTTTCATTTTTGTACATAAAAATACACATAAATAATACTTTGTCACTTATCATGGCCAATCATCAACTCCTTTGAAGTTCTATAACTATGTAAGGAACACAGGAAGTTAGTTTATAAGAGCAAGAAACAAGAGTGCTGAGGACACAGACATACATGTAAATTCACCTATGGCTCTGTGAAATTCTTGACCCTTAAAGAAGAAAAAGACAAACAAATTGATAGCCAGGCATGGTGGCACATGTCTATAGTCCCAGAACTTGGGATCACTTGAGGCCAGAAGTTTGAGGCTAGCCTGGACAATACAGCAAGAATTCAGCTCAAACAGAAAGACAAAAACAAACAAACAAAAAGCTCATAAATTTCTCCAAAAACAAGTAACAAATGGCTACTTGTAAGAAATCTGATCCCAGTTGTTCTTTTTTCAAATTCATGACAATAAGGCAATGGTACCTAACCTTGCCCAAGTGCTAAAATCATAATCAATTCTAATGTATAAAAGCAGCACTCAACAGAAACAAAGAAGGCTGTTCCTGTGGAAACTCTGTGGCTGTAAAGGAAAACCTTTGCCTTGAGTTCACCACAGTGTCTTGAGTAGACCAGAGAAGCACTTTTTGTTCAGCGATGCACCAAATTTCCTAGTTCCTGGGCATCCTCTTCCACTGCTATCTCTGGCTCTAGGAAAGCCCATTCCCATTCCTTTGGCAGGTGGACCTGCAAGACCAAGTTGCTTACCTAACTTCTAAAAACAATCAGAAACATTAAACTTTTTTTTTTTTTAAATTGTATCCTTCCAAAGTTTATTTGAATTATAAGGATTAAAACTATTTCAGCCAGATGCAGTGGTGTATGCCTGTAACCTCAACTACTTGAGAGGCTGAGGCATGAGAATTGCAAGTTTGAGGCCAACCTCAGCCACTTAATAAGACCTTGTCCCAAAATAGAAAATAAAAGAACTGGGGTATAGTTCAGTGATAAAACACACCTGGGATCAACTCCCAGTACCAGGAAAAAAAAAAAAAAAGACAACTTCACAAAAATTCATCTATAATTAAATAGCACAGTCTCTATCAAAATCTAAAGTAAAGTTTTAATGGAAATGGGCAAGCTGACCCTAAAGTTCATATGGAAATGCAAAAGATCCAGCATGACCAAAACAAATATTTTTTTGGGGGGGAGTGCTGATCATATCATACTGATTTTAAAATCTACTATAAAAATATTATAATCAAAGCAGTGGAGCACTGACATAAGGAAGGACACATAAGTGACTGGAACAGAACTGGATGTCCAGAACTAAACTCAAATACTTAGGCTTAATTACTTCATGGAGTTTGTTTCCAGTGGTAGGGATTGAACCTAGGGCATGACTCATGCATGTTAGCCAAAACCTTTTATAAGGGTATCAAAACCATTCAACGGAGAAGGAATAGTCTTTTCAATAAGTGGTGCTAGGGTAACTAAATATCCACACACCCAAAAATGAATGTGACCAGATGAGGTGCCCCATCTGTAAGTCCCAGTGGCTCATGAGGTTGGAGCAAGAGGATCGCAAGCTCAAAGCGAGTTTCAGCAATTTAGCAAGATCCTGTCTCAAAATAAGAAATTAAAAAAAGGGGCTGGGGATGTGGCTCAAGCGGTAGTACGCTCGCCTGGCATGCATGCAGCCCAGGTTCGATCCTCAGTACCACATACAAACAAAGATGTTGTGTCTGCCGAAAACTAAAAAATAAATATTAAAATATTCTCAAAAAAAAAATTAAAAAAGGCCTGTGGATGTGGCTCAGTGGTTAAGCACCACTGGGTTACACCATCAGTACCAAAAATAAAAGAATGAATGTTGTGAACCCCTATCTCACATCATATACAAAAATTAACTCAAAATAAATCAAAGATTTAAATATAATAATTAAAATATAAAACTCTTAGAAGAAAACAAGTGAAAATTTTTGTGAGCTTGGGTTAGACAATGGTTTCTGAAAATAACACCTAAAGCATATGCAACAAAAAATTTAAAAATTGGGTTTCATCAAAATAAGAACTATGGCTGGGGATGCAGCTCAGTATTAGAGCACTTGCCTGGCATGCATGAGGTCCTGGGTTCAATCTCCAGCACCACACCCATGCGCACGTGCACAAAAGAAAATTTTAAATGTTTATAGAAGAATGCAGTGGTGCACAGCTGTAATTCCAGTTACATGGGAGACTAAGGCAGGAAGATTAAAAATTCAAGGGCAACTTAGCAAGACCTTGTCTCAAATTAAAAAATAAAAAGTGTTGAGGGTATAGCTTAGTGATAGAGTGCTTGCCTAGCATGCACAAGGTCCTGGGTTCAATCCCAGCAGCACAAAAAGAAAGAAAATTCAATTAAAAAGGTAGACAAACCATGAAAATGGAAGGGAGACCAGTAGAGTAGAGGAGGAGAGAAAATGAGGGGGAAAGGTGAGGACGGGAAAGGGGAGGAAATGAGTTGGATAAGGCTGACCAAATTTTGCTGTGGGCATGTGTAAATGTACCATGGTGAATTCCACCTTTATGTACACCTATAAAGTAATAATTTATAAAAACAACAAATAGATGGGGAGAAGGTCAGTAGAGTAAGGAGGTGGTATGGGGAGGAGTATGTTGGGGAAAAGAAGAGGGAAGAGGTATTGGGGACTGAAAATGGAGCAAATTATATTCCATGCATGTGTGATCTTGAAAAAATGAAACCAACTATTACATATAACTATAATGCACTAATAAAAACATACAAAAAATGTACAATAACCAATGTTAGTGAAAATGTAGAGAAATTGAAATCCTCATTCACTGTAAGTAGAAGATTAGATGAGCACTTTAATCAGTTTAACAGTTTCCTCAAATGGTTAAATATACACGACCCACAAATTCAATTCCTATGCATATATCCAAAAGAAAAGAAAAAAAAAATCCACATGCTAGGCTCAGTGGCACACATCTGTAATCCCAGTTACCTGGGTGGCTGAGGCAAGATAATCACAAGTTTGAAGCTAGCCTGGGCAACTTAGTGAGACACGATCTCAACATAAAAATAAAATAGGTTGGGAATATATTTCAGTGGTGGAGTGCTTGCTTGGCCTGTGCAAGCCCCTGGGTTCAATCCCTAGTAAACAAGTTCATAAAGAAAATCCTATATTTAAACATTCACAGCAGCATTATTTATAATAGCTAAAAAGTAGTAACAACTCAAATGTATATCAACTGATAAATGAATAAAAAAAGGTATATAATGGAATATTAATCAGGACAAAAAGGAATGAAGTTCTGACAAATGCTACAATGTGTATGAACCTTGAAAACATTGGGAAAAGTGAAAGAAAAACTACATACAAGAAAGCATATATTATATAAAATATCCAGGATAGGCAATTCATACAAATATAAAGTAAATTTGTAGAAAGCTGGGATTGTGGCTCGATGGCAAAGCACTTACCTCACACGTGTGAGGCCC